TAATCCTAGATACAAAGTACATCAACTGGCAGCGATACGTTGCCTCAAAAAACTTTTGACTGTCGATGTCACAAACCAAACACAGTATTCGTGCTAAGTTTGATAACTTAATCAGTCCACGGGATTTGTTAGATAATGACTCGTTTACTCGTGCAACATCAGGCACTCTCTCATTCGAAGGAGGGGCGCAGATTATTCCTGACTGAAATTCCATCCTGGGAAATGTACACTAAAACTGAGATGTGCGGAGACATCTGTCGGCCGCTTTTATGGCAAAGATTAAGTGCAACTGTTTTTGTCACGACAAGTTTCCAAACTAAAATACCTGAAAAAGACTATAGTGAAAGACTTAGTTAAAAGGACTAATTAGATATTGATGATAATATTTCCAGTTTCGATTTTATCAAATCGCAACTAAGTGAAAATTACAACCGTGACAAGTAAAGAATGCTTTGATATCGCTGTAACAGTTGATACAAGGTATCATTCAGATTTGTTCGGGTAACTGAAGTGGAATTGTTGGGAATGGCCTTTTTTAATAGGAGTTTTATTCTAAGTTAGAGCTGAAAGAGCACGTTTTGTCGATTGGATGGTAAACTTCACTCAAATTTGCATACATTGTGCGTCAGTGGCAGGTGTTTTTAATAAACAAGCATGAGTTATGGATGCTACCAGGAGAGACTTAGAATTATTCAGTTTGCCTGGTTTTCTTTTCTTGAGAGGTCTGTAAATAACAACTTTCAACATTCAACTTGGGTCAGTAGAGGCGATGTCCATCGCTGCAATAGAAAATTGAGTCATCTGGATGGAAGCGAAACTAGCGAGGCTAACAAATCAATCTCAACGAGAACAAGGTGCTTAGGTTACAAATTTTAAATTTGAAATAGGAAACTGGAAACACACAACGTAAAATACAGCTGAATATAACTTTTAAAACACGACCCTTTAAATACACTTTGGAGAACGCTTGGGAGTTACGATCGCCGTTGAGATATTAAGAAAAGTCGTGATTACGATCGGGAAAGTGCTCCGTCATCATTTGGCTTGTGACGTCTCTGAATGCAATAAGTAACAACCAACCCTATTTATCAACCTTATCTTACGATTCGTCCAAAATTCAAACCAAAATAAAAAGAAAAAAATTTGCGAGCCCTATTAGGCCTCCACACGTAGCCAGCGTCATGAGAATATCAACTGTTCGTATTCTCTTGCTTGCGTAAAAGACATCTTAGCAGGTGGTCTTAGGCCCACAAGATACCTTTTAATAGAGGACCCCAAATGATCCCCTTGGAAACAAAAAACGTCAGTGCAATAGCCCGAGCTAATTAAAATGTAAAGAAAATAGAAACATCGACAAAAGACATATAGAGGGAGAAAAACGAGAGGTGAAGCATTTAATTTCGAAATATTAAACATTAGCCTGCTTGCAGACGGTAGTTTGTTTTCAAGCGCGAGATTCAGCGCGGCGAATATTCAGTCGCCATTCTGAACGGGTGGAAGATTTGGGACGAGCGACAAGGCGAGGGGGAGGGGGGAAGTTCTTCTTCCCCTCCCCCTCGCTTTGCCACTTGTCCCAGATCTTCAACTGTCCATTATGGTGACCGAATTTTCATCGTGTTGAGTCTCTTGCCTGCGTACAGACGTCTCCTATTTCCTGACGTCCCCGCGTGCAACAAAGGAAATAAGAGACGTCTACACGCAAGCAATATGTCTTGCACTTGGTTGTTACAAGCCCAAGGGCTTGATGGGATACAGCAAACGAGTTTGTTGCGGTCGACTCTGACTTGGTCTCTCTCAACTTTTCCTTCTTTTCGATGCAGATGGTGATAATATGGCTGACATATAAAATTTGAAGTGGTAAGTACAAACTCTTCACAACGTTTGATGAAAGTTCCGTTTTATCAAAAGCGAATGAAGGATTAAACTGATGTTATCAGACTAAGTTCTTCTGAAACCGGAAGTGTTAATCCTAGATACAAAGTACATCAACTGGCAGCGATACGTTGCCTCAAAAAACTTTTGACTGTCGATGTCACAAACCAAACACAGTATTCGTGCTAAGTTTGATCACTTAATCAGTTCACGGGATTTGTTAGATAATGACTCGTTTACTCGTGAAACATCAGGCACTCTCTCATCTAAAGGAGTGGCGCAGATTTTCCTGACTGAAATTCCATCCTGGGAAATGTACACACCTTCATTTAATCAGAACCGACGTTTCAATAATTATCTCATCTCTGTTACAATCGAATTGTACTCTGGTTTATCGTTGCGTTTGCTCTAATAGTTTCATTGAAATCGATGATTCAACTCTGTTAATTAATAATTTGTATGCATCCAAAGAAACTACAGCTGCAGTTATCAAAGCAGAACAATTTGAACGAAAGTCAAAACTACAACTTTCTCTTCAATGGCGATCCTTCCTGTGTTGTTTCGTAACTACAAGCTTTTAAAGTAGAAATATATGAAACATATTACTTAGGTATATTAAGCATAAATGAAAATGAAATTAGCTTGGATTTTTTAAAGTGGTAATCACATCACGAGATTAACCACATCACGAGATTACTGTGATGTGGTCTGGCCTGTTTACTGGGAAGGGGGGGAGGGGGCATCTGTAAAAATTGCTCCTTTATTAATTGTAAACTGCCGCCGGCAGTCTGGAAAAGTTCCCCGCACAGTGTTGTAAAGCGCGTTAGAGCGTTTGGAAATGCGCTATAGAAATCGATCTATATTATTATTATATTATTATCAAGCTGTCGCAGCCGTAGCGAGTTAAGAATAGTAAAGAATTGAAAATTCCCTAGGAGAAAGTAAATATGATATGTCTAAGTGACTTTAAATCAAACCATTTAGAAAACCCGATCACCATTTTCCTTCATCAAGAAGTTAGATGCAAAATCAAACTAGACTGGAGTGATGGGCCATATTAATATTTGCATAGGTGGTATTTTGAGAACACTAATCGAGTTTTGTGTCTCAGGCGGCGGAATCTTGGTTTGTGAGAGAGCTGGGGGCATGGCCATGGTAATCCTTGATTCATTAACTTTCAATAAAGAACTTGCCAAAAATTAGAGAATTTTGAAGACACATAAAATATAGAGTTTGTTTTAAATTTTACAAAGTAATCATGATACAGTTGTTGTTATTTAAAAGCCCATTTACCTCGTCAATTGTAATCTCTCATTGAAGCAGCACGGATTATTCATGTTTGATAAGTTTTCTTCGAAGGACTCAATGGCATTTTCATCGCTTTATTGTTACTATTACTCGATAATTAATTGGATCTGTTTCCCATTACATTACTTACAAAATTTGCGATTAATAGTACACATCTTTAAGGGAGCTACTGCAGTTATTAAAGCAGTAAAACTATTTGAACTATTTCAGAATAAAACTGAGATGTGCGGAGACATCTGTCGGCCGCTTTGATGGCAAAGATTACGTGCAACTGTTGTTATCACGACAAGTTTCTAAATTAAAATATCTGAAAAAGACTTTAGTGAAAGACTTAGTTAAAAGGCTAATTAGATATTGATGATTATATTTCACAGTTCCGATTTTATTAAATGGAAACAAAGTGAAAATCACAACCGTGACATGTAAAGAATGCTTTGATATCGCTGCTACCGTTGATACAAGGTATCATTCAGATTTGTTCGGGTAACTGAAGTGGATTACTGGGAATAACCTTTTTTTAATATGATTTTGTATTCTCAAGTTAGAGCTGAAAGAACACGTTTTGTCGATTGGATGATAAACTTCAATCAAATTTACATACCCTGTGCGTCAGTGGCAAGTGTTTTTAATAAACAAGGATGAGTTATGTAAATTATGGATGCTACCAGGAGAGACCTAGAATTAATCAGTTTGTCTGTTTTTTTTTTTTCTTGAGAGGTCTGTAAATAACAGCTCTCAACATTCAACTTGAGTCAGTAGAAGCGAAATCCCTCACTGCAATAGAAAATTGAGTCATCTGGAAGGAAGCGAAACTGGCGAGGCTAACAAATCAATCTGAACGAGAACGAGGTGCTTAGGTTGCAAATTTGAAACGTAAAATAGGAAACTGGAAACACACAACGTCAAGTACAGTTGAATATAACTTTTAAAAGGCGATCCTGTTTATGCGCTTTGTAGAACGCTTAGGAGTGACGATCCTCTTAGAGATATTAAGAAAACCCGTGATTACGAACGCGAAAATGCTCCGTCATCATTTGGCTTGTGACGTCTCTGTATGCAGTAAGTAACAACCAACCTTTTTTATCAACCTCATTTTACGATTTGTCCAAAATTCAAAGCAAAATAAAAAGAAAGAAATATATTAGCCTCTTAGGCCTTCTCCACACTTAGCCAGCGTCATGAGAATATCAACTGATCATATTTTCTTGCCGGTGTAAAAGACAGCTTAGCAGGTGGTCTAAGGACCACAAGATGTCTTTTAAAAGAGGACCCCAAGTGATCCCGTTAGAAACAAAAAAAGTCAATACAATAGCCTGATCTAATTAAAATGTAAAGAAAATAAAAGCTTTGACAAAAGACATACAGAAGAAGAAAAATGAGAGGTGAACCATTTTATTGCAAAATGTGAAACAGCCTGCTTGCAAGCGCTAGTTTGTGTTTTCAAGCGCGAGATTCAGCGCGGCAAATATTCGGTCGTCATTCTGAATGAGGGGAAGATTTGGGACGAGTGACAAAGCGAGGTGAGGGTAAATTTTTTACACGATTTAAGTAAACTTCTGGTTCTTTTTATTCCGCTCACATCCAAAAAACGGTTACCACAACAGAGAGAAAAAACAAAATACATATATATACATGCTAATTCTTAAAAAAGGAAAGTTTGAATAACAAAAGGAAAAGAAACACCTCGACAAATCATAGTTCAAATTAACTATTCCTGTGAAATATTTCAAATTTAAAATAACAACGGCAAAACATAATATGCATAATAACAACACTCCCACTTTTGACGTCGCTTATTTGACAGTTTTCATGCCTAGCTTAGCAAAAATTTTCTCAAAGCGGTGTTTAGGCGAAGGTTTCGTTAGGATGTCAGCAATCATCTCGTCCGTACCAATGTATTTCAAGGTGAGCACTCCATCTTGTACTCTTTCGCGAACGAAGTGTTAACGTTTATCGATGTGCTAGGTCCTGGCATGGCCCACGGGATTCTTAGCCATGGAAATAGCCCCTTGGTTGTCTTCATATATTTCAGTTGGTCCCTCGGGAGATTCTCCCATGTCTGCCAAAAACCTTCGAAGCCAGATTGCTTCCTGAATGGCCGTACTGAGTGCTACATACTCTGCTTCTGTTGTCGACAATGCGACGGTAACCTGCTTTTTGCTTAGCCAACTTACTGCCCCACACGCCCATCAGAACACGTTTCTAGAGGTAGAATGACGGTCATCCATATCACCCGCCCAATCTGCATCTGAATAACCAATCAAATTTCCATCAGCACATTTCTTGTAACTCAATCCAAGATATGCAGTTGCTTTCAGATATCTGAGGACTCGTTTTGTTGCTGTTAAATGATTTTGTGTCGGATTGGCACAGAACTTCGACACAACTCCCACTGCTTGGGCGATGTCTGGACGAGTTGTGATTGCAGCATAAAGTAGACTTCCTACAATCGATTGATACCAGATCACATCAACCGGTCTGTTAAAACCATCTTCCTTTTTCAGCTTGACATTCAAATCAGCAGGTGTAGACACCGGTTTTGCTACTGTTTACCCAAACTTCTCGAGCATATTTTCGACTGACATAGTGCCCTTGATGAACGAAAACTTACTTGTTTGTCACATCTTGAACGATACAGACTCCGACATAATAATCCAGCTCTCCCATATCTTTCATCTTAAACTGCAGCTTTAGACTGTTCTTGACACTTCTGATCTCCGTGATGTTTCTCGCTAGAATCATCAGATCGTCAACGTGAGCTCCAATGATAGTTAATGCATCCTTTCTGATAAATACGCAGGGATCTGCAGAGGCTTGAATAAAACCAATCTTCTCAATGCACTCCCGAAAAACTTTGTTCCAACAACAGGAAGACTGCTTTAACCCACACAGTGACTTCTCTAGCTTGCATACCAGATGCTCCTCCCAGGTTTCACGTATCCTTCCTGCTGCTGTATGTAAATTTCATCATCAAGTTTGTCGTTGAGAAAAGCTGTTTCTACGTCCATCTGGTGAATCAGCAAATCATTCTGAACTGCAAACGCTAGCAAACAACGTATTGAAGAGAAACGAAATACGGGCGAAAAGGTTTCATCGTAGTCAATACCATATTTCTGGGTGTAGCCCTTGGCCGCTAGGCGTGCTTTGAATCGTTCCTCTGTACTGTCGCAGGAGTGTTTCAGTTTAAACACCCATTTGCATCCAGCAGCTTTTCGACCCGGAGGTAATTCAACCAACTACCATGTCTTGTTTTCAATCAGCGAATTGTATTCTAAATTCTTCGCGACTTTCCACTCTGCAGCATGATCACCTGATCTTGCTTCTTGTATAGATGTAGGTTCATCAATCCAAGAAAGATGATGTGCGACATGTTGTAGGCGGTGAGTTGCCGTGTCTGCGTATTCGTCATAACCATATCTGACAGGTGCTTTTCGTGTTCTTACTGACCGTCAAGGTTCCCCTGGCGAGTCTCCTTCTAAATTCTTCATTTCTTCTTGTTCTCCTTCATCTTTTCTAGGAATTACTTTGTTTTGCTCTGCTTCCTTGCAGCTTGGGTCTGGCTCTGTTGTCATGGCTCGCTTCTAGCCTAAATCGTTTTAATTAAAGTCCACATCTCTTCGGATATACATCTTTCGGTTCCTCTCATCAAAACGACGATATCCCTTAGACGTTAAGCT